AAATGTGATAAGGTTATTATTAAAATATTTATTTTGCAAATGAAAAAACCGAAGCTCAGAAAGTTTAAATGCCACAAGGTCATGCAGCTAAAGCTGGCTTTGAGAGACACTGAGATGCCCTGCGTTGATCCCCCTCAAGAAAGGAGTTCTTGCCCAGCTGAGAGGAGGTGGTGAGCTGACAGCCTCTAGTTGTTAATTCTTTCTGGTCTCCCTCAGCTCTTCTCAGTGTGTCTGGACAAGGTGGAGGTTCAAGGGCCTAAGCATTTCCACCCCAGATGGAACTCCTCTAACAAGCACTCTCCACTGGAGTTCCCCGTTAGGCTGACAGAGACTTTGTTGATCTGCTTCAAAGTCCGACAGCTTCCTCTGTCCAAACCTGCTTCCTCCCTTTTCCTTTCACAAGTATCATTCTCAATAAACATTTTGGTCCTAACTGTGTCTCGATATCTGCTTTCCAAAAGACCCAGCTGATGCAATGGTAGAGCCAGGATCCAATGCCTAGGCAATTTAGATGACTCTTTTCTGTGCATGCCTAGTGCACTGCCACTTTCTGTCTCTGCTTTTGCCGCACTGTGTTGATATTTTTGGTTTCTAAGCCTGTTTTTATGCACCAAAAGTAAACTGAGTTTCCATCAGGACAGCAATTCTATCTTACTCATCTTTATCCATAGCTCCTAACAGTCCCTGGTAATTACCAGTTACCCAAGATAGTGTTTATTAAATGGAAGAATTGAAAGACAATTCCTACTGGGATAATCTGGGAAGGTTTCCTAGAAGAGGTGACATATGATTGGAATCTTAAAAGATGAATAAGGTTTCAATAGGTGGAGAGAAGGTTATCCCAGGCTAAAGGAACAGTAGGGAGAGAGTAAACTGCTGGTTGCCAAGTCAAAATCAGTGTTCCCCTACCAAATCAGCAATTTTGTTTAGGGTTGCAAAGTGCACAACTGAAAGAAAAATATGTATGTATATTTCGCAGCCTGTCAGTCAGATAGAACAAATCTGTCTTGGAAGAAGTACAGCCAGAATGCTCCTTAGAAGTGAGGATGGCAAGACTTTGTCTCACGTACTTTGGACATGTTATCAGGAGGGATCAGTCCCCGGAGAAGGACATCATGCTTGGTAAAGTACAGGGTCAGCAAAAAAGAGGAAGACCTCAAAGAGATGGACTGACACAGTGGCTGCAACAATGTGCTCAAGGATTAACAACAATTGTGAGCATGGCGTAGGACCGGGCAGTGTTTTCGTTCTGTTGTACACAGGGTTACTATGAGTCGGAACCAACTCGACAGCACCTAAAAACAACATTCAGATAGAGGTGGCCATTTGAAAGTGTGGTAAATGAGATGTAAGCAAAAGAATAATGGAGATTTCTGGGAAAGGTTCACATTCTTGATATAGGTGTTGTGAAAAATTGTACTGTTGCTGACCCTGACTTTTTGAGTCACTAAATTCGTAACTCTAGACTTCTTTGTGTGTGTATGATGGGGGGCAGGGAAACTCCTAACTGTAAAACTTGGTTGAGTGTTTTTGTTATTTGCAGCTAATCCAAGTCTTAACTGAGGCAATGGTTAAAGTCATATGGAGGCTTGTATCTGAGACTGAGGTGTCAGAGAAAGTCTGACAGGGAAGAATATCCAAACAAAGAAAATAGATAGAAGGATTTTCAAGAGATGAGTATTTAATTAACACAATCAGATTAGGGTTTCAGAAAAATAATTTGTGGGCACTTCTATCTGAATAAGAGGCTGGAAAACATATACATATGTATACAGGTACACACACACTGTATTTTTACACAAATAATGCATGCCTTCTACATTTGTTTGCCAACTTCGCCCTCCCCCACACTCACCGTGAGGTATTTTCATAAGCATGCTATGCTAATACTTTTTTTCAAGGCAACGTGTAAAAAATCAGCATAGTGGCACTTAGAAAATACCTCGCAGGGGAAGGGCATAGTTGACAAACAAATGTAGATGGCACACTTTATTTGTGTAAAAATACTATATATATATATATATATATTTTAGTTGTGTCCTTTACTGCCCTAAACAAAATTACATTTCTGGTAGGAGAACATTGACTTTGGGTTGGCAACCAGCAGAGTTTTTCCTCTCCCTCCTGTTCCATTAGCTTGGGATATCCTTCTCTCTGCCTACTGAAATTTTATTCATCTTTTAAGATTCTAATTATGTGTCACCTCTTCCAGGAAGCCTTCCCAGATTATCCCAGTAGGAATTTTCTTTCAATTATTCAGTTTGATAAACAATATCTTAGGTAATTGCCAGGGACTACTACAAAGGAGCTATGTAAATGCGAGCCTGGATGCATTAAGTGTCTTCTGGCTGTAATGAAAGGGAAGGGTGAAGGGGACCTCATTTAGGGCAGCTTGGATAAAACCCTTGAAGAGGCAAATAAAAGAAGGAAGAAAGTAAATGGAGTCTCTAGGCCTCGTCAGACAATTTTTTGCCCTCTGTGGGAAAAAAGGATTTGCGCACACTGTAGTCAGGCACTTTAGGGCTGGAAATTCTAAAATGTGCTCTGCTCGCAGATTAGAAGTCAGAAACAAAGGAAAGCATGAAGAGTAAAGAAAAAGAGAAGTTTGTGGGTAATATTTTTCACTCACTATTTAAATGAACATTGAAATGAAAACAATAACATAGAATAAAAATACATGACTACAGCAGCGTATATGCAAGCAGGTAATATAGGTAGAGTTCCGAGGTCCCTGGATCTAGTCATATTGTGTCACATTGTAATGAAATTACACAAAACTAGACAAAGAGAAAATCTTAAAATTAGCCCTTTGGTTGATGAGGGAAAGTTGTTCTTTACAGAAAAAGCCCAGCTAATAAGTATAGAAGGAAGGGTAGAATTAGAAAATCATCATTTTGCAACTCCCTAATGAAATAACAGATCTAGTCGAAAATCATCAACGGCGCAAAAAATCATTAGGTGAAAAAACTGATGGGGAACTTTATAATGGATCAATAAGGCTAAAACAACTGAACCCATTGATCAATCTTTATATCACTGAGTCAGACAACCAGACATTATGTGACTCCTAATGAACTGCCGTAGGAAGTACACAGCAGCCACCTATGAAATATTGTTGCCTTCCTTCCCTTAAAAAAATTTAATCTGAATCTCATCAAGCCTCTAGGTCTAACTACCAGTTGACAGTAAATATGGCAGATAGAGAAACATGTTAAATGATATCACAAAGAGACAATCAGCCAAACCCAGAATGTTGGAAAATTCTGCAAGACAAAGGACCCAATGTATTCATTAGGGCTCTAGTAGTTAGGGTCCCAATACTCAAAGTGAGTAATTTGATGAGAGCTTAACAAAAGGACTATTTACAAAGATTTGGGCTAAGTGTAAGGAAACCACAAGGGAACAAGGGATAGTACAGAACCCCAGAGCTAGTTACAGCTTGGGAGACATGGCCACTCTAGGGATGAAGGGACAAGAGGAGGGGGCAGTTACTGTAATTCTAGGAAGAGAAGAAAAGAGGCAACAAATTATGTGGAGAGGGCCTCATCACCTCATAATAGGCTGTGACCTTCCCAGGGAGCTGACAAATACCGTAAGCTGGAGGTCGGAATAGTGGTCACTCTCATTTGGAATAAAATATAGGAAGGAGTAGGGAAGATTTAATTTGTACACAAATAATTTTAAGAATGTTTTTATTTTTAACTTCTAGTATTTCAGCATGGAAGTAAGTATTGAAATATAAGACATGTTTTAAATCCAAGACTAACACAATAGGTTCCAACTGGTATCTCTGTGTCCACCTTGGCCTTCAATCTCTTCTCCATTGAGTAGACAGTATCTTCAAAAACCACAAATCTGGTCCTGGGGTTAAACTGCTTAAAGCCCTTCAATTGCCCTTACAATAAAATATAGGCTTTTCATCCTGATTCATGAGGCCCTCCATGATCTAGCACTTTCTTACCACCTCCAGTCCTTCTTCCCTGGAATGGCTCTACTCTAGCCACACTGGACTTCTTTGAAATGCTACCAGCTTTCTTCCTAGTGAACACTCTCATATATAGTTTCCATGGCCTGTGTCTTGCTTCGGGCTCAGATGCAGAAATCAGAATCCACTCAGGTCAGATTAAGCAGAAAGGGATTTATTATAAGGCATTAAATGCTTTCAGAAACAATGGCAAGCCTGGAAAATAAGACTCTAAGGACAACTTCAAGAGTCGTAAAGCAGCTCTGTTCCCACTGGAGATTCTATACCTTCTGTCCACCAAACTGGGAAGCTGTCCCTACGGCTGCTGTCTGCTAGAATCAGAAAACCACCCAAATCAGCAAACAGCCACAGTCTAGAAGCTAGAATGACCAGGAAGCCATGAAAGTCGATAGCTGCCTCAGGAAAGCCAGGTACCTCCATCCACACGGTGCTTATTTGCCAGCGGAAGCCACGGAAGCAGGGAGGCAAGGCTACCTCATCTGTTCTACCTTCCAAATCCTTCATGAGTGCATCTGACTGGTAGGACTAACTCACATCCAGAACTCATACAGCAAAGACATCTGGGAATTGTGGCTTTTAGCTTTCCAGATTCTGCACACTAGAAGGAGGCTGGAGCAGATATGAAGCACCAGTAGACCACAACTACCACAGCCCGAGTCACTCTTCTCTCCATCTTCCTCTGGTCTGGTATTGTTCATCCTTCAGGTCTTGAGTTAGACTTCACTTTTTTAAGAAGGGCTTCCCTGATCCACAGTCTGTTTTGGTGCCCTACCTCATACCTACCCCTTGCTAAGAAATCCTATATCATTCTGTGCTTTTCCATTACCAATTATACCCACCAGACTCCAAGATCTTGTCTACTTCTCTGCTGAGTTCCATGATGGCAGGGACTACATCTATCTTCTTTACCCTTGCATCTTTCACAGCTTGCCCAATGCCCAGTACATTATAGTCACTTTGTATGAAATGAATGAACGTGCCTAATGAATAGGTACGTGAATGCATGAAGGGAAAGATGGGGAAAGTATTGTGGGAACAGCTTGAAATAAGGTGAGTACAGACATCAGTTGGGAATAAGTTTCTCTGACATGGTAGGGGGTTTCAGCCTTGTGATTTGTTTTGCAGAGAGTGGATATATTGGTAAATATAGAGTTGCTGGCAGGTCTGGATATCATCTGGAAATGTTCACCACATTCTAAAAAAACTAATTTTCCTTGGCAGCCTTTAATGGAACCAAATCCTCCCAAGGGAACAACACTTCCCATTCCCTGGTGCCTGCCTCCAATAAGGAACAACATTCCCTGGAGTACTTGACTCTGAAGAGGCTGGCGCACACTAGGCCAAGGCTAAAGGATGAATGAGATGCTCAGTATCCTCAAGGATTTGGGAATGATCTTTGTTCTGAGGTTATCTACTGCCCAATCCTCAGAAGGAAACCCTGGTGGTGTAGTGGTTAAGCGTTCAGCTGCTAGCCAAAAGGTCGGCAGTTCGAACGCACCAGGCGCTCCTTGGAAGCCCTATGGGGCAGTTCTACTCTATCCTATAGGGTCGCTATGAGTCAGAATCGACTCGACAGCAACGGGTTTGGTTTGGTTTTTTTAATCCTCAGAACAGTCTGAATCCCAGAGAAGGTACATTTGACATAAAGCTGTTGGATGGATCTGTTTTGAATACAGACTCACTTCTCCTAGGATTTGGCCTGACAACTTCATCTGTGGGGATTGGGTCTGTGTACAAAGCCTGTCAATAATACCAAAAAGTTTTACTTCTCTGAAGAAAGAGTCTGAATTGCAGATATGTGCTTAACATAGCAATGCTTAGTCTCTGGCACAAATCCATCTGTCACAGGCTCTTTTCCTGCAAAGGGAGGGAACAGTGACATTGGAGGGACCAAGGTCTTGTCTCAAATGAATGCAGAGTCTATTTCAGGATTTCCAGCCCTTTTATATCTTGCCCCAAAGAGCTGACTTAATTGAAAGTGTTAGCACGTTGAGTTTAGTGATAGCCAAGAGAGAGCAAAGCCTGAGGGAGAGACTGGGGCTGGCCAAGGGACAGCCACCTGCTGTGGGGCTAGGTTTTAGCACCTGTTGTCTAGGGCCACATTTTCCCCAAAAACACACTACCATGGCCATCAAAACTAAAGTTTGCAAGATCAAAGTCACATAGAGAAGGCGTATTAATAAGAAATCAATTTTATACGTGTGTGTGTATATATATATATATATATATATATATATATATATATATCTAGGTGGTGCAATGAGTTGGAATCAACTCCATGGCAATTGGGTGGGGAGGGGACCTGCAAACAGTTAATATACTCAACTACTAACTGAAAGGTTGTAAGTTCAAGTTTGCACAGAGTGGCCTTGGAAGAAAGGCCTGGCAATCTACTTTTTACAAAATCAGCCATTGAGAACCCTATGGAGCACAGTTCTACTCTGACACACAAAGAGTCGCCATGTGTTAGAATCTAGTTGGCAGCAACTGGTGTGTGTGTACACATAAATACACATATATATATACATATAAATACATAATAATAGCTATTTATAAAACTTCAGTAAGTAATGCTTGTGGGCATGTAAGATGTTGAGGGTCCACTTGTACCTCATTCTTCATTCATCTGATGATTATGGTCTGCTTACTCCCACCCAAATCCACCCCATTCAAGAGTCCTCCTTTGTTACTGACAAAAATCTATGCAACCTTGTATTTTTTTCTTTCAGTGCTACTAATTGCTTAGTTTAGAATAGCAATTCAGAGATAAGGCTCTGGAGTCAGACTTTCTCAGTTTAAATTCCAATTTCACCACTTACTGTTGTATGATCCAGGAAAATTAATTTTTCCCTATCTGAGTTTTACTCTGTAAAATGGGGATTAAAATATCTCTAAGCACGTGGAATTATTGTGGGATTTAAATAAGGTAATCCATGTAGCATTTAAAACAATGCTTGGCATATTGTAAATCTCCGATGATATTAGTTATGCTTCTTATAATTATTGTTATTAGTATTCATTTGTAGTGCCCTTTTATAGTGCAGAGGCCAACGCTTTCATAGATTTTACATAGTAAGTCAAATTTATGGTTTAAATGACAGTTGGATCCTAACTAATTCTCCATTCTCCATTCTAAAGCTTTAAATACAGCAAGCGAGCATGGGTTGATTTTAGGATGAGCTAGAACTGAAGAAATTGAATTTACCAACCAAACATCCATATTTCAGAGGAAGGAACTAGAATATTAATTTGGTTGCTTTGAGTAGGAAGCCACAAATTCTAACACAAACTCACCTAAGCTAGGCTCAAACAAAGTAATTCACATAGCAGATGAACAGTAGAGCGGACTTTAGCGTTGGTTGAGTTAGTGATTTAATGTCATTATGGCCCTAGGTTCCTGCCATCTCCCTCCTCTTCCTTCCGTAGCACTGGCCTCATCCTGTCTGGTTCCGCTTGTGTTCGTATGGTGGCTGCCAACAGCAATCAGTTCACATGTGTTTTTTTTCATGTTCAGTGAGGAAGAGAAAGAGGCTAGCTACCCATGAAAAATTCATTACAGGAGTCACCAGGAACCTCTCCTAATGACTCACAGGCCACATAATGTCAAGCCTCCCCATATACACCTGGCACAGTCACTGGAAAGGGGGATGGTATTACCATGGTTTACTTAGACCAATCGGTTGGGGTGGACTGGATGTTGGAGACTCAGCCACAGTAGCCTCTGTAGGGATCATATTAAGAGGCTTTCAGATGGTACAGGGGCTTACCAACTCTTATGCTCCTTGAGTGCCAATGAATGTGTCTGTTCTGTTTACTACTGCATAACAAATGATCCCAGCCTTAGTGGCTTGAAGATACAATCATTTTACTACATCTTACCATTTATAGGTCATGCGTATAGGCAGGGTTCGGCTGAGAGTTCCTTCTGCTTCACATGTTGTCACTGGGGTCAGTCAGAGGTATTCAGTTGGCAGCTCGGCTGGTCTGAGGGTCCTAGAATGTCATCATGCACATGTTGGGCCCCTTAGTGGTGACAACTGGAAGGCTGGGCTCTGCTGGGCTGCTCTCCCTCTCCGTAGCCTCAGGGCCTTCCCATGGGCTCTCTCTAGCAAGGTAGCTAGACTTCTTACATGGCAGCTCAGTTTGCTATCCAGCTATGAGTGTCAGAGAAATTGTGACATAAAAGACAATTCCAAATGTTATCTTTAGTACACATAACAAACATAAAAAAACAAAACCATTTGTCATGTAGTCTATTCTAACTCATGGTGACCGCATGCGTGTCGGAGTAGAATTGTGCATCATAGGGTTTTTTCGTTTTTTTTTGATAATATTTTACTGTGTTTTTGATGAAGGTTTACACAGAAGTTTAGGTTCCCATTCAACAATTTCTACACAGATAGTTCAGTGACATTGGTTACATTCTTTGTCATTCATGAACATTCTCAACATTTCCATTCTGGTTTTCTGTTTCCATTGATCTAGTTTCCCTGCCCCCTCAAATTCTTTGTTTTAAAGTAACTGTTTAAAGTAATTTGGTCTCATATAGATGATTTTCTAAAGGAGCACAGCACTCAAGGGTGATTCTTTATTTTGTGAGCCAATCTGTTATTTAGCTAAAAGGTGACCTCAGAGGTGAGTTTGAGTTCAAGGTTTAGGGTAATAGTCTTGGGGAGTCCTCCAGTCTCAATCAGTCCAGTAAGTCTGTTTTTTGTTTGTTTGTTTGTTTGTTTGTTTGTTTTTTAAGAATTTGAAGTTCTATTCCACATTTTTCTCCCGTTCTATCAGGGTTCATCTGTTGTGGTCCTGATTAGAAAGGTCAGTAGTGGCATAGGGTATTCACTGGCTAATTTTCTGAAAGCAGACTGCTAGGCCTTTCTTCCAACGCGTCGCTTGGTGGACTCGAACCTTCAACTTCTCGGTTAGCAGCCGAGCACATTAAAGTTCTCTTTGACTTACTAGATAAAGTTCAGACTCTACAGTATGACTTACAAGGCCTTTCACAAGTTCTTATCTTAGGTCAAATCCCCCAATTATCACTGGAATGTAAGCTCCAAGAGGGCAGGGAACTTACCTGTCCTGTTCATTGTTTTATCCCTAGTACCTAGACAGGGTCTGGCACTTAGTAAGTGCTTAATACATATTTGTGGAAGGAAGGAAAGAAGAGAGGAAAGGAGAGGTGGAGGGAGAGAAGGAAAGAAGGATGTTAGTTCTTACAGCACTCTATTTCAGGGATCAAAATGTTCATAATCTAGTTCAATGTCTGGCTTCCTCACTAGATTGTAAGGTCCAAGGAGGTAATAACGTACCATATTCACTACTCCTAGCACAGTGCCTGGCACAAAGTAGGTGCTCAAAAAAAATTGTAAAATAAATGAATTAATAACAATGTGTAAGTGGACAAAGTACAGCTCGAGTGCTCCTTGGAAGCGAGGTCTCACTTACTTTGGACATGTCATCAGGCGGGACCAGTTGCTGGAGAAAGACATCATGCTTGGTAAAGCAGAGGGTCAGGGAAAAAGAGGGAGACTCTCAACAAGATGGATTGACACAGTGGTGGCTGAAACAATGGGCTCAAACATAGCAAGACTGTGAGGATGGCGCAGGACCAGGGCAATGCTTCATTCTGTGATACATGAGATCGCTAGGAGTAGGAGCCTGCTCGAGGCTCCTAACAACAGCAAAGTGCTTAAAGCACAGAGGTAAGAGCCTGAAGGAAAGACTTGACTCTCTGGAGACTGAGGATGGGGGTGGGGTGGAGGACATGAATGAACCCTTGAAAGTCTTTGGCTTACGGCTTCAGCTTCAGAGCCCAGCCTCATGCTAGCTGGCCAGTGGGTCCCTTTAGGCCCATGACTCTGGAAGGTTGAATATTTTACTTAGTTCTGATGTCCCTTTTGTGTATTCAGTTTCTTATTTGGCACAGGGATCCAGCCCTACTGGTTTTTTTCCAAGTCTTTTGAAGTGATGCCTGGGCTGCTTTGCCTCAGACTCCTGGAATGTGACCTCATTCCTTCCCCAGGTCAGTCCCCTCATTAATCAGACTGCCC